CAGTGATATTTGCGACGGCGTCGAAAGAGAATTGATCCATGGATGTCAGAGGCCCCAGTACGCTGGGCGTAATTGGCACAGACTGGCGAAAGCGAATCATATCTCAGCTCCGCGAGCGTTTGGTCAGACGCGTTCCGACTCATGTTGCCAGAGTGCGGCTTCGCACATATCAGTTGTCTGGGTGGTCTGACAGCCGACGAATTGAAAGCTATCACGGACTCCGCGGGACTCCAAGCTGCGTTGGAACGTTTGCTTGCCAGAGCGTCGGGCTGCTGCCAGCGACGCTGCCGCGCCCCCCTGGTGCGCTGGCGTTACAGGAGCGACGTTTGTCAGCCGACGAATTGAAAACTATCGCGGACGCCCCGTGAGTCCAAGCTGCGTTGGAACTCTTGGTTGCCAGAGCGTCGCTGGCGCGACCGACGACGCCGCCGCGCCCTCGCTGTACGCTGGCGCTACTGGAGGCGACGTATGGCGATAATTTCGTGGGTTCAGTAGCACAGGTGGTAACGCGGGAGCTCGAGAACCACGCGCTGGCGGAGCTCTGCGGCATGGGCATGCAGAACCTGGACCAGGACTGGGGGCCCATGGAGGTCATCACTACTTCGAAGGTGGCAACGGAGCAGGGAGGAATCCCCAAAGCGTGCTCTAGTAGAGAGCCATGTATACGAAGATGAGTCGGCCCGAGCATCGCTATCCATTGTCTGAAATGCACTCCGTGCTTGGCACGCAAGTGCAGTGCATATTCTAGGTCTTGCAGCTCGCGCCGCACTGCCGCCGCGCAGGGCAGCCCAGGCGCGCGAGATTCTGGCAATGTCTCGACCTGGGCAAACAGCCAGCCAGCAACGACATAGGTTGCACGAGGTGGGCCTGCGCCCACCTGTGCCTTGACCCGTCGTGGCACAGCGGCAGAGTAAACCAGATATTTGGCAGGCGTCAGCAAGAGGGCCTTGCGGTTTACAGGAGGGCTGGCCAGAGTCCCAAATATGCTCACATGCCCAGTTTTAAACAAAGTTGTAAAACCTGCAGACGCGGCGAACGCGACGGACGGTTGCCAGGAACTCGAAATTGTCAGTTGGCTTTTTCTCCTGGAGTGCAGTGAGAAGGGGCCCCTCTGGAAGCTGGGCTTGCAAACGAGGAAGGTGGGCGACCAGCGGAGACGCATTCATCGGTCTGGATTACAAAAGGAACGTTGCATGTGCTTCTCTGGCGACGGAAGCACCGCCCAGCTGGCGAGAAAATGATCGCGCGCCTCTACTGGCGAGCGCCTGCGCCCTCTGCCCACGATAGGTTTCCTGTAGAGTAGAGAGTGCGGCCAGCGATTTGTTTGAGTGCAGCGGTGGTTGTTTCGTCAAATTCTGCGGCCGTCATTCGCGTTAGAATTGGTGCCGGGCGCAGCTTCCTACTCCTTCAAGTCGTTCTGGGCAGGGAGAGCGATTGAGATGGCGAGCCTGGGCGAGCCCTCGGTAACCACGTTGGCAGCTGGCGTGTCGAAGTCTGCGCAGTTTCTCCGATAAGTTGACGTCGATGTAGTCGGGCAACAAGTTTAGGTTGATCGAGCAATGGGTTTTGACAACGTTATGGAAACAAGCGTCGCTGTAGCACCTGTTCGAAGCGTTTAGATGTTCTCCCGCTCGCAAAGATGCAGCGAACGGGGGCGAACGAACCCTCAGCGCTGCAGCGCGACATTCCCCAACGACGAGACCGCTCGGAGCGGGAAAAAAGGAGAGGGACTTTAGCTGTGGGTGAGAGAGCGAGAGAGAGAGAGGGGGGGCTTCACGTGGACAGCGTAACACCGTTCGGGACACATCAGCCGATCCTTCCAATTCAAAGGCTGGGGTCGTTTTCGGCTGTCGGAGGCCCGACGCGGTGAGAACGCGATGGACATGACAACTCGCCCACACATCTGCAGATGCGAGCACTGCAAGGCAGGTGGGGCAACTGACGGGGGGGAGCTCAAGATGGGGCCACGCAGCGTGTGAGGAGTGTGCCGAAAGGAACGGGGGGTGCACGCGGACTGTGCCCCTGGGGCCTTGGATGGAGCTCCTTGTGGGGCCACGAAACGTGTGAGCGGTGTGCCGTTATGGGCGGGGGGGGCGCATGCGGATTTGACCACTGCGACCTCTAAGGAGCCAAGGAGCGTGTTAGGGGTGTGCCAGCATGGGCATGTGAAGAATAGCAGCAGGAGCAGGGGAAGGGAGGAGGGGGAACAGGTGAGGAAGGAAGGACGCGGGGCGATGCGAATCCAAAACCAGGACCCAAATCCACAGGATGGCTGAGGCAAGTCTATGATAAGCATATGGGTAACCAGTGAATTTGGCCTTTGGCTGTCCTCTTGGATCAGCGTGGAACGTCTTGGGGACCTCTTGGGCACTCGTGAGGCCGGTTTGCGCCGTCTTCGGTGCACATTGAAAAGGTTGGGATGCATATGGGGGCAATCGTGGGATCTGTCTGGGTCGTCTTGGAAGCATATTGGGGCCGTCTTGGAGGTCATCCTCGCCCATCTTGGCAGTCATCGGAGATGCTCGCGTTGACTTCGGGGTGTTTGTTGTGGTTGCCAGCCTGCCACCAGGATGCTCCAAAGGCCATTGGGAAGGAATGGCCAAGATGAGCCTAAACCTCAGCGCGCCATGCACTCCTGTGGCAAGCCAGAGGGGGCCGCGGATGTAGTGGCCTTCGGCCCATCCCGCTACAGTGCATAGATTGTTGAACAGAGGCCTCGTAGAAAGATCTTGAGGTCGCTTAGAAGACCTTTTGTGACCTCTTGGAGGTCTCTCTGCGGCCTCTCGTGGGCCCGGGGGGGCCTACACCGCGTTTACGAACGTTTTCGCGGGTTCGGCTCGGTCGCCTTCGTTACGGTGACGATGAAGATTATGGAGGCCCTTGGTTTGGACCCCCGTGTGGAAAGCCGTTCCGTGTTTCGCATGTCCCCATTCTCTTTACCGTCCGAGTGCGATCGGTGTCGTGTTTCTCCCGCCTCCTATCTCGATGCCGCCAGTGGGAAGTCTCGGACATGCGATAGCGATTTTGATGACGACGGCAGTGGCGGCGCCGTTGCGCCCTCTTCACATGGTGGATTGGGATCTCCGCGGGACAGTACCAAGGAAGAAAGTCGCCCCTCGAGTTCATCGTCGCCCGCGGCAAATTTGTTTCACGTGTCTCGCACTTCTGGTTTCCTCATCGGCCGAAGGGAAGTCCAGGTCGACCCCAACAGGCTTTCCGAACCAAAACAAAATGATGCAAGACCCCTGAACACGGTTGTGCGGTCCAATCCGAAGGTTTTCAGGGGGGGCGAAATTGCTCAAACGTCCCCCACGCATGGATGTACATCGTTTGGTGGCGATTTCCGATGAGCAAGCCGATTGAATCTCAAAATGTTCAGGTCGACCAGATCAAGCCTTTACTTAACAAAAAATAATGCATGCTGCATGATTGTCAGTTCCGACCCGACATCTTTCAGGTCGACCTGAAAATGCCCAGGTGCCCCGCGTGTAATCATGCAGCCTGGTGACGTTTTCAGGTTTCTACACCGCGTGGTACACTTTGAATCTGAACATGTTCAGGTCGACCTGAACGTACTATCCGTTTGAAACAAAAAAGCACAATGGATGAAGCGCACCGGAACAACATGTGCAGGTCCAACCTTCAAATGTTCAGGTCGACCTGAAAGTGCCGAGGTATTCCAAAAGTATCAAGTAATATGCCGGGTAGCATGTTCAGGTGTCTTCGCCGTTTGGCGATTAATATCGAGGGGTTTGAGGGGACCTTTATTATTGCTATTATTATTATTATTATTGGATTTACATGTGTGTACATACATGTATGAGTACATATATATATACATAAGTATATGTATATACATATATATGTGTATATATATATACCTATATATATATACATGTACCCCCCTGCGGTTCCGCCCAACTGCACTGCTGGCGTGTCGAATGACACTGTACGGGGCCCCATGCGCCTAAAGGGGGTCCACCATTCGGCTATGGCCCACTGGCTCTCGTTTGCTCATGCTCATGCTCATGCTCATGCTGTCGCTTGCTCATGCTCATGTTCGCTTGCTATGGCCCACGTACGCTCGCTTCCTCGCGCTTGCTCATGCTGATGCTCATGGCCCATTCGCTCTCCCTTGCTCATGCTATGGCTCTCAATCTGCAGACGCGCATGCTCATGCCTGAAGTTTTCGCGAAACTTCTGTAAACGGTCAGTGCGATTTTTCGCCTCCCATTCCTACTATTTGCAGGCGGTCGGTTCGGCGGCCCGAAGCGGCACCCTTCTTGATCACGACCTGCGCCGTCACCAGGCTCCGCAGCATTCGTCCGCACGGCTCTTTCGCCTTCTTGGCCTGCACTGCTGTCCGTGCTCGGCGCTTCAGCTCGGCCTTGCCCACGGCTGGCTTCTCGTCTTTCAGACCCTTCATGTCCATGGCACGCAGCCGTTTCCGCAGGTACGCCCAGAGCCACTTTGCCAGGCTGAGGTCTGGCGACCGTGGCGGGATGCGCCATGACTGCACGGACGTCTTGGCATACTTTACGTCGGGCCCGTACCTCTACGGGAGGAATATTCAAAAATTTGCTTAAACAAAACAATAGTCCGGGGACTATTCGTTTTTTGGTATTTTTCGCCATTTTGGTGTATTGTTTGATTTTTTTGTTTTTCGTCGAAAATCCCCCTGTAGGGGGACACGCCCGACTTAAGGCATACTCCCGCTTGCTATTGCGCCCGTCAGAGAACCCCTCTCTGCCACAGAGTACGTACCAAGGGCTAGTTATCGGTGTGGTCAGGCCTCGCTTGCGAGCGGCGGCGAGCGGCGAGCTTCCCTGCCCCGAGCGAGCTTCCCTGCCCCGAGCGCCTCCACCAACGCCTCCTGGCAGAGCTTCTGCCTCTTGTGAAATGTGTTGATGCCTCAAACCGCCAGCTCCTTTCCCGCCCGAGAGCGGCACTGCGCGCGTAAGAGGCACCTGCTTGTCGCAGTCGTCGTTGCCGGACAACTCCTACCTCGTGCCCTCTGTTGGCTTCCGCCGCATGTGCGTTTCGCCGATGTGGACGAAGTTGGAGCGTTCGATTGGGTCTTCGGGCGGGACCGACAGTACAACGCCGTCCATGCAGAGGGCTAAGTACTTCTCCAGCTCCCGCGCCGACATCTTCACCACCTCTTGGGAGAAAGCCAAGCGGGCGTCACGGTCATCTTTGGAATACCTCGGTTTCTGCGCCTGCGGCAACCACTTGTAGCCATTCTTCTGCAGCACCTTGCAGATTGTAGACTTGGCTACGTCCGTGTCCATGTCCCTCTTGAACGTGTGCTGCAGAGTGGGCGCGGTGCAGATGCACGTCCCGCGTAGAGCCAGCAACTTCTTCACCAGGAACCCCCCCACCTCTGGGGTCACCTTCCATGGCTTCCTGCCGCATGCAGAGTGCTTGTACTTTTTCCTGCCAGCGCGCCGGTCGAACGTGCGGTAGTCGTCGCGGACTTACGCTCCTGACTGGGGCAAGCCGCTCACAGTCCGCACTTCTGCTGCGGTGTCATTCCAAGTCCACCCCTGGTCGCGCTTGATGACCACTTTGCGCTGGCTGGCGAAGTCCATCGATCTCTTGGAGACCACCTAGGAGACAACCGACATTGGCACAGAGGGACACGGGGCGCGCGCAAAGTAAACGCGGACTCCGATCTTGAGCCCACTGCGCTACGGACGGGGTTCGGCGGTGGCGATGGTGGATGCGTCGCTGATGGCACCGCCGACGCCCTGTGACCGCATTGGCTGCGTCGTCGCCATCGTCGCCGCTGCCGTCGCCTTCGACGTCGTCGCTGCGTGCTTGGGACCCGCTGGCAGAACTTCCACAAGCGTCGACTCGGGCACCTGCCAGGTGCACGTAGTCAGGGACCCCAGGGAAGCTAGCCAAGCAGGCGGACACCGCGTCCTCCCAGTTCTGCCCGTCTCCCCGCTCTAGCGGCTGCTTCCGTATGTCGGCGACCATGGCCAGTATTTTGTGGAGCATTGTCTCTGACTGGTCAACGCCGCGCGCGCGGGCGATCGCCCTCAAGGGTTTGACAAGCTCCGCCCTGGCGGCCATGCCCACGCAGGGCGAAGTGGAACTTGGGCCAAATGGCAACGGAGATTGGGGTGCTGAATTGCCCATCGCGTTGACGATTTGTTTTTCGAATTGGGCTCAGTCACCCTCGAGGCGGTGACGGTGGAGTTTCTTGGGGCCCCTAGTTTGGACCCCCGTCTGGAAAGCGGTTCCGTGTTTCGCATGCCCCCATTCGCTTTATCGCTTGAGTGATATCGGTGTCATATTTTTTCCCCGCTTTTCATCTCGATCCCGCCAGTGGGGAAATCTTGAACATGCGATAGCGATGTTGATGACGACGGCAATGGCGGTGCCGTTGCGCCCTCTTCACATGATGGATCGGGATCTCCGCGGAAAAATATCGAGGAAGAACGTCGCCCCTGGAGCTCATCGTCGCCCGCGAGAAGTCGGTTTCACGTGTCTCGCGCACCGATTAAATCTGACATTGTTCAGGTTGACCAGAGTCCGCCGTCACTGTAAAACCAATGGATGCAACGATATTGTCAGGTCCGACCTGAAAACTTTCAGGTCGACCTGGAAATGACCAGATGCCCCGCGTGTATGAAAAAAATACAGCCCGGTGACGCTTTCAGGTTTCTACACCGCGTGGTACCATTTGGACCTGAAAATGTTGAGGTCGACCTGAACGTACCATCCGCTTGAAAAAGCAATGGATGCAAGTCCAAGCTGATTTTTTTCAGGTCGACCTGGAAGTGCCGAGGTGTTCCAAATTTATCAAGTGATACACCCCAGTTTCATTTTCAGGTTCTTCACCGTTTGGCGATTGTAATAGGTAATAGTCTTATGGGACTTGCAGGCACCTGAACAATATAGTCCTCTGCGGCTCCGCCCTGATACAATACTGGCGTGTCCAATGACATTGTACGGGGCCCCGTGCGTCTAACGGGGGCTCGCCATTCTACCACGGCCCACTGACTCTAGCTTGCTCATGCTCATGCTCTCGCTTGCTCATGCTCATGCTCGCTTGCTATGGCCCACTTACGCTCGCATCCCCGCGCTTGCTCATGCTTATGCACATGACCCACTCGCTCCCGCTTGCCCATACTATGGCCCTCAATCCGCAGACGCGCATGCTCATTCTCGCATGTTTCACGACACTGCTGTTGTAAACGGTCAGGATTGGGGACCTCTTCGGGGCCTCTCCATGGGCCTCCTGGGTGTGAGACTGTCGGCGGTCTCGTGGCCATGTTGAGTTCGGGGGGGTCAAAAACAAGCATTTGAGTCAGCCATCTCGGGCCACTTTGGGGGTCTTTGGGGGGGCGTCTTTGGCCCCTCTTGAGGAGGTGGGGCCGTCTTGGGGCGATGCTGGGCCTGCTTGGCCGCCTTGCGCGCTCTCAGTATGGAAAACTCAGACAGGCGAACATCGTACAACGACCTGGGGCTTGGTTCCCATGATCGTCGCAAACGCAGTGAGCTCGAAGGCACATCAGGACACTCCACCTCGTGTCTCGGGGCACAGGGATGGATCCATTTAGAAGTCTGGTCAGTTGGGGTTTTCTACGCCGCGCGGCTGCCCGATCTCTCGTGCCAGTGGGTCCGCGCTATCGGTGTTGTGTTGCTCCAGTCCGGTTGGCGCGCTGCTCCCAGTTCGGATGGACATCCCCACAGTATATATTGGTCTATTCCTGCCTGTCGTCGTACATTACGTGTGGCAGCCTCTTCCTCATCCGCCCTCTCCCCTTTGTCCTCCCCGTGCTCCTCCTCCTTTCTCTCTCTCCCTCTCTCTCCTCCTCCCTCCCCCTCCTCCCTCCCCTATTCCTGCCTTTCCGCTTCCTCGCCCGTTTCCGCTTGGAAGGTCCACAGGTGCCCCCCACCTGCTGGGCGCGAAGCCCCAGTCCACCCTTCCGTCGGCTGCACGGTGACCCTTCGCGGGAGCGACCTTAGGTCGGACTCGGGCTCGGGCTCGGGCTCGCCGCCCTTTACGCGCTCCGCGCGCTGTGGAGGGGGAACTAGCGCCGACCGACGAAGTCCTCGCAGAGCTCCAGAAGTGTATGTTCATGCGTGCTTAGTCCTTCCCCACACCCTCCCGCTCGGAGGAGCCCCCTGCAGACGCGGCGACGCGCGCGGACGAGAGGCAGCGCATCGCCGGGCTCGTAGATCCGCCTGGAGGGAGGGAGGACGGGGCGGCGGGAGCGGGGAAGAGGAGGAGGAGGAGGACGAGGAGGAGGAAGAGGAGGGGAGTGTGGAGGAGGAGAAGGAGGCGGACCAGTGCAAACCCAAGAGGCGGAGGGGGAGGAGGAGGAGGAGGAGGAGGAGGAGGAGGAGGAGGAGGAGAGGAGGAGGAGGAGGAGGAGGAGGAGGAAGAGGAGGAAGAGGAGGAGGAGGAGGAGGAGAAGGAGGAGTAGGAGGAGAAGGAGGAGTTGGAGGAGGGGAGGGCGGAGGGCGGTCGAGGACGGAAGGGTGGGTTGAGGAGGATTTGGGGGAGGGGGAGGACCAGGGTATTCAGGATTTGGGGAAGTAGGAGGAGAGGCTGCTTGGGCCGCCTGATTCGCCAAATGAATATAGCCAGGGAGATAGGAGCAGGGGGTAAGGATGGAGAGAGGGCACGGGTGAGAGATGGACGGGAGTGGAGGGGAAAGGGGGGAGGGAGAGAGGGAGACAAGAGAGGTACAGATGTGGAACAGGGAGAAATGAGGGCGCCGAGTGGAGGTGAAGGAAGAGGAAGAAGAGGAGGCGGAGGAGGAGGAGGAGTAGGAGGAGGAGGAGGAGGAGCGAGATAATGCGAGGAGAAAACCGGGGAGGGGATGTCAGGTGAGGCGAGGGCGGAAAGGAGGGAGGAATGGAAAGGCGTGAGGGGAGGCCAGGGAGGGGAACGATGGTGTTCCATCTCCTGCTTCTCCTGCCGTTCCCCTTCGTCGCCTTTCTCGTCTTGCTCCATCGCCTGATCCTTCTCGTTTCCTCCATCATTCCCCCTTCCTGCTCCGTCGGTTTCTCGTTTCTGCTCCATCCTCGTCCCCCTCATCCTCCCTTGCCTCCTTCCTTCCGTCCTCATATCCCGCAATTCCTTTTCCTTATAAATAAACCTTGTCGCACCCCGAGGGAGGCCGGTCGGAAGGGCGGGCCGGGCGTTTCGCCCGAGACTTCTTTACCCTTTGTGAGCCTGAAGCTTAGAAGCTGGCAACAGATTCACAAATGGAGGGTCGGTGGTTTTCAAACTGTGGCTCTCGTTCTACGACCGCGCTGGCTTTTTCTTGTTTTAAGGATTTGCGCGATGCTCACATATTGGTTTTCAACATGTGGCTCGCGCCTTGGCGCCGCGCACATTCGCCAAAAGGAAAAATGATAGATTATCCCGGATTGAAGGTCGTTTTCAAAATGCAGTTCTCGCTTCAGCGCCGCGCACACTCGTTGCAAACGAATTCAAGAGTTTCACGGATTGAGGGCGGGTCTTTTTAAAATTGTTCTTCTGGCCCTAGCGCCGCGCACAGTCGTTTCAAACTTTGCCAGAGCCTCACGGATTGAGGGCGGCTCTTTTTTCGAAATGTGGTTCTCGCGTTAGCGCCGCACGCACACGTTTTTTAATGACGCAGGAGTTTCGATGATTTCGCATGGTTAATTTTCCAGAAGTGGCGCTTTCGAGCGATTCTGGATTGTCAGGGCACAACAATGACGTTACTTCGAGGTGTTGAAATCCCAGGAAACGGTGCTCTCGCACGATTCAGGATCGTCAGGATGCAACAGCCAGGTTGACTCGTGACGTTGAAGACCTGCGACTGGTTTTTTGGCACGCTCCTCCTCCTCCTCCTCCTCCTCCTCCTCCTCCTCTTCCTCTCTCTCGCCCCCGTTCCCCATCCCTTCGCCCTAGGTCAGGCTGCACCTCTGCTCGCTGCGGGCGCTGAACAAGAGAAGCCAGGCCACGCAGCTGATGGTGCACCACAGCCTCGTGCAGTCGGCCTTCGTCGTGCTCGACGACGGCTCCGGGAAAAAGACAAATGTGCACAATTTTTTGCGTCGGCGGCTAGGCAGGGGTCGTCTGCGCTGGCAGAAGAAGCTAACTAAACGGGGGCACCGTTGTAGCGAATTGGCCAGCATGCAAGAGGGGGAGGAGGGACGGAGCGGGCGGCCGCAGGGAGGGGGAAAAAGCAAGGGTCGCCCAGGGTGGACAGATCAAACCTGCACAAACATGAACATTCAGAGGTCTGCGCGGATTTCGTGTTCCGGCGATGGACCTTCCTCCCTGGCTGACGGAGCGCGGCAGAGCAGATTCAAGAGAACCGCGCGAACCTCTGGAAGTTCACCTCCATCGCCGCTCTCAAGCAGTGACGAAGCGTCCTGGCTCGCCTATAGCTCTACCAAACAATGTTCTAAGAACCTTTTGTGGCTTCCACGAAATGTTCTTAGAACATTTCTGGCGAAGTCTGTCTTGTTTTATCACATCGGGCTTATGCTCTAAGAACGTTGTTTTTGTTTTTAGAACACGTTTCGGTTCTGAGAACATTTCGTGGTAGGACTATAGGAGTGCCGGGACGGTCGGCTCCTGCCCTTTGCTCTCCGAGGCTCCCTCGCGAGGCCGTGCGACGTCTTCACCGAGCTCCACTCGGGAGGCGACAGCGACGCCGAGGAGGGCCCGCCCCGGCCCGCGGCGGAGACCGGCAGCGGCACCCAGCAGCCGGACGGAGGTCGGCCACGCGCAAGTGTGGGGGAGCAAAGAGTGTCATAACACATAACAACGCGGAGGTCCGCGCAGAGTTCTCGGATCGGCGCTGGGGCCCCCCTCCCCGGCGCGCGGAGCGCGCCAGGGGCGTCGCCGGAGGCGCCGCCGGGGGGCCTCAGCGCCGAACCGAGAAATCCGCGCGGACCTCGGAGTTTCTATGTTTATGCCACTTTTTGTTCCCCTGAGGGGGGCAGGGGGAGGGGGGAAGGCTTTTTGAGAAGCGCCCCCGCTTCTTAGAGAAGGCGCTGGCCTCGTCTGCAGAGGTAGGGCCCGCCTCCTTCCAAGAAGCAGCCTCCTTCTGAGAAGCCTCCCCCACCCCCCTTCACTCGCAGGCCTAGAGCTTGACACCAACACAAATTTCGGCGGTGTGCCCCCACCGAGGGAAGAAGCTCCCGATCTCGGCGATGGTGGTAACATTCTGGCTTCCAAGGTGGCCGAAACATTACCACTAGCACCGAAATCTAGGATCGTCTTCCCCCTGTGGAGGCAACCCCCTGCGTTGGTGTTGGTGCCATATCCAGGCCTCCCCTTACACACGTTGTTCATGTCTATTTGTTCGAACATTCCTTGATTTCTGTGGGGCCAAGATCCTTTCATTTCTAATTGTTCCATCCTGGGCCTCTTCCTGGCCATCAGGGGTCCGGGAACATTTAGAAACGAGCACACTTGGAAATGAGCACGGTCAGAAATAAAAGACGTCTACCCTTAAGTCTGGCATGTCCCCCTACAGGGGGATTTTCGACGAAACATAAAAAATAGTCCAAGCATATTCCAAACTGGAGAAATAGACTCCAACAACAGTCCACGGACTACTTTTTACTATCTTCGAAGATTCCCCCTGTAGAGGGACAAGTCCGACTTAAATCTAGAGGGAGGAAGGAGGAGGGAGGAGGAGGAGGAGGAGGAGGAGGAGGAGGAGGAGGAGGAGGGAGGAGGGAGGAGGGAGGAGGGGGGAGGGAGGGAGGGAGGAGGAGGGAGGAGGGAGGAGGGAGGGAGGAGGGAGGATGATGAGGAGGAGGAGGGAGGAGGGAGAAGAGAGGATGAGCAGTAGGATGATGACGAGGATGAGGATGAGGATGAGGATGACCCCCCCGTGCGCGCCGCCAAGGAGGGCACCAGGACGCGCAGCCGCCGGGCCAGCGCGAGAGGCGCCCGGACAGGAGCGGAGGAGGGCCCGTCGCGAGGCGGCGGCGGCCCTCCCCATATGGGCGCTCCTTCGTCCTGCCCGTGGGCCTCCCTGCGGAGGCCTCGCGCCGCCACGGCAACGGCGGCCAGATCCCCTGCGCGAGTCGCTCCCGCCAAAGTTCCCCCGAAAGGGGGAGCTTAGGCGGGGGCTTTTCTCGTGGGCAGGCCCTGGATCGCCCAGGGGAGTGTCCAGGACGGACCGACTCGCCCGGGGGGGCCGCTCCGAATAGCAAACAGCTCTGGAGGTTGGAGGGGGGGTGTGGCACAAAGGGGTGCGTGGCGCCAAGCGTGGAAACTGGCGATGCTGTCTCAGGCGATCGCAAACGTGGATCGAGGGAGCGTGGAGCAGCGACGGGCCCCGCTTCCATAGGAAATCGCCGATTTCCGCCGCCGAGCGAGGCAGCACCGGCCGCATTTTGGGGAGGGCGCCTCCCCCGATCCATGGATTCGGCGACCGCGCGCCAAATCCATGGATCGCTAATCCATGTTTGCGCGCCCCCGAAAAGGGGTGCGTGGTGCCAATCGTGGAAACTGGCGATGCTACCTGCGGTACAGTCTAGCCGGATTAGTAGGTCGACCCTGCCAAGTCAAGGGTACCCTTGTGTCCTGTCTCGCGGCCCATGCTTCCTACATTCCTGTGGCAATGTGGCCCTCGAAAAGGGTCTTGTGTCCTCTCGCGCGTCCTGTCCAATCAAGTCCGACTGTAGATCGCCTCGCCAGCTCCAGCACTCTGCTCGCCATGCCCCTCCACACCGCACCCTTTCCGTGCCTCCAGAATAACACTGAGTCGGGCCTGTCCCTCTACAGGAGGAATATGCAAAAATAGTCCTACATAGTATTTTGGGGACGATGTTTGATGCATGTTTGACTATGCTCGAGTATTTGATGTGTCCTTTTTTCTATCTTTCGTCCACAGCTCCCCTGCAGGAGGACATGCCCGACCCAAGAATAGCACGAAAAGTGGGAGGGGGAGGCGCGAGCCGCCGTTGTCTCAACGGGCCCTCCTCCGGCAGGAGGGCCCGGCCAGGCGCCGGCGCGGGGCCCTGGCTGCTGCCAGGGTACCTGCGGCCCTTCCGCAGGCTGCTGCTCGGCATCGCCGGCCCCGCGGCGGGCAGCGCGCAGGGAGCACCCAAGGCTCGGAGGAGCGAGAAGTGTGGCGTTAATGCGTGATCTTAGCTGCCTCGATGCGCACGATTCTACGGGAACGAGAGGTGACATAAACATAAAAGCTCGGAGGTCCGCGCGGATTTCTTGGATCCGCGCTGGGCCCCCCCCCCAGCGGCGCCTCCGGCGCCGCCCCTGGCGCGCTCCGCGCGCCAGGGAGGGGGGTCTAGCGCGGATCCAAGAATCCGCGCGGACATCCGAGTTTTTATGTTTATGTCATGTTTCGTATGGGGGCAGAAACGGGTGGCCGAGTACGACTGGCCGAGGACTGCTAGACTTAAGTCGGGCACGTCCTTCTACAAGAGGAATACTCAAGAATAGCAAAAGATTGCTCAGGGGACGAATTTGTGACAATTGTTGAACTATTTTTTAATTGGTTTTTGTCTATTTTTTATGTTTCGCCCAAAATCCGCCTGTAGGGGGACATGTCCAACCTAAAACGAGTGGCCGAGTACGACTGGCCGAGGGCTGCCAGAAGCTCCGGAATTCCCAGAACGTATTCTGAGCGAGCCAGCTCTGGCATTATTCGAGAGGCGTGCGCCATTCCGCCGACCCCCAGAAGAGGACAGGTACGGCTTCCGATTTCGCGCGTTCTGTTTGCCACGTCCCCTCCTGCTGCCGGCGTGTGGCTGTTGCCGATGTGTCCTCTTTCTCATCCGTGCCCGTTGCGGGGGCTCGGCCCCCACCCCTGCCACCCCTCCCGAACGGGCCCTTGGGCCCCAGGGGACCGCGGGAGGGGGCAAGGTGGAGGGGTGTCCAGGCCGATGGCGCCCCAGCAGCGCTGGCTCCCGGCAGCCTGTGCTGTGCGACGGTCGACTACACGTAAGAGTGACATTTCGCCGGAGTGACCTTTGGTGCGGGCCCAAAGGGGTCCCCCGATCGCCGAACGCGATGGGGTAGTAGCGTCTTGCGCGCTCGTTTTTGTGCCCTCGCGGCCCCCCACAAGCCGCGCACCAAAGGTCACTCTTACCCAGGTTCACTTCTGCGTGTAGCCGAGACGGCGGCGAGGGAAACAGGGAACGAGAAGCAGGCAGACGGAGGCAAACGCGCAGGCGGGAGGCCTGGGCTGGCGGGACGGAACAGGCGGGCGGGTTGGAGGAAAGGGACGGGGGGGAGACAGCAGTCAGGGAGCAAGGGAGGAGACTTAAGTCAGGCCTGTCCCTCTACAGGGGCGATATTCAAAAATATATACAAAATAGTCTGGGGACTATGTGTTTAGTATTTTTAAGCGTTTTTGAAATGTTTTTGGGGTATTTGTTATTTTTCGTTCAAAATCGGCCTGTAGGGGGACAGGCCCGACTTAAGAGGAGACGGCGAGGGCGAGGAGGGCGAGGCAGGGTAGCAGGGTTTTCCCAAACCGAACGGGCCTTCCCAAGCCAGATGTTGCGGAACCAGACCGCCGGGCCTTCCCAAACCACACCGCGGGTCTTCCCAAACGGAACGGGTCTTCCCAAACCAACCGGCCGGGTCTTCCCGGTCCCAAGCCAAGTGGGTCTTCCAAAACAATCCCCCGGGACTTCCCAAACCAAACGGGTCTTCCCAAAACAATTCCCCGGATCTTCCCAATCCAACCGGGTCTTCTCAAACCAGCCCCACGGGTCTTCACAGACCATTCCCCCGGATCTTCTCGCCAAGTTTTCGTTTGAGTTTCGGTTTCGTTTCTGTCCTCGTTTCCGTCCTCGTTCTTGCTTTTGTTCTCGCCTTCGTTTCGCTTTCGTTTCGCCCTCGTTTACGCTTTCGTTTTCGCATTCGTTCTCGCCGTCGTTCCCCTTCGTTTCGCCCTCGTTTCCGCGCTGGTTATTGCCTATGTTATTGCCTTCGTTTCGCACTCGTTTCCGCAATGTTTCTCGCCTTTGTTCCGCCTTCGTTTCGCCCTCCGTTTCCGTTCTCGTTCCCGCCTTCGTTTTCGCCTGCCTTTCGCTTTCTTTTCGCCTTTTTTCCGCCATCGTCCCCGCCTTCGTTCCCACCTTCGTTTCGCCTACGTGTCCGCCCTCGTTCTCGCCTTTCTCGCCTTCGTTTCGCCGTCTTTTCCACTTTCGTTCTCGCCTTCGTTCTCGCCTTCGCTTAGCCTTCATGTTGCACTCGTTTCCGCCCTTGTCCTCGCTTTCGTTTTCGCCTTCTTTTTGTTTTCGTTTCGCTCTAGTTTCCGTTTTCGTTCTCGGCTTCGGTCTCGCTTCCGTATCGCTTTCGTTTTGCCCTTGCTTCCGACCTCGTTCCCGCCTTCGTCGTCGTCGTCGACGACTTCGTCGTCGTCGCCGTCGCCGTCGTCGCCGTCATCGTTGTCGTCGCCGTCGTCCACGTCGTCGTGGTCGCCGTCGTCGTCGTCGACGTCGTCGTCGTGGATGCCGCCGTCGTCGCCGTCGCCGTTGACGCCGTCGGCGTCGTCGTCCAAGTCGACGTCAACGTTGTCGTGGTCGCTGTCGTCGTCGTCGCCGCCGTCTTCGTCGTCGTCACCGTCGCCGCAGTCGCCGTCGTTGTCATCGTCGTCGTCGTCGTCGTCGTGGTCGTAGTCGTCGTCGTGGTCGTCGTCGTCGCCACGCCTGGATTCCTTTCCGAATTTCAGGTGAAGGCGCGCCTCCAGAACCCAGACATCCTGTGTTGCTTTTTTGGCGACGGGAGCACCCAGGGGTCTGGCCTTTCCCTAGGGCCGTTTTTTCGTCCCGAGTTCTTCTTTGACGGTCTTGGGGCCTGTTGAGAGCCCCTGGGAGCCGGGTGCACGCGTGCCAATTCGATGATGCATCATATTTTAGTGTTCCGCCCGCTCAATCAGATCCGCCCGTCAGGGTCCGCCCGCCCGACTCGACCCGCCCGCCCGACCGACCCGTCCGTTAGGGAATACGTGCGCCAACTCGATGATGCATAAAACTTTAATGTCCCGCCCGCCCCGCACGACCCTCCTGTTAGGATGCGCCTGCCCGACCTGACTTGCCTGTCAGGGTCCGCCCGCCGGACTCGACCCGCCCGCCCGACCGACCCGCCCGTTAGGCTGGAATCGCGCCAACTCGAGTATGCATTGTACTGCGTGTCCCGCCCGCCCAACCCGACCCGCCCGTTCGGGTCCGCCCGTTCGACCCCACTCGCCCCTGTTCTCGTTTTCGTTTCCGCCCTTCGTTCTCGTCTTCGTTCTCGCCTTCGTTCCGCTTTCGTTCCGCTTTCGTTTCCGCTTTCGTTCTCGCTTTCGTTATCGCTTTCGTTTCGTCTTCGTTTGTCTTTGTATCCGCCCTCGTTTCCCGCCTTCGTCTCGCCTTCGTTCTCGCCTTCGGTCTCGCCTTCGTTCCGCCCTCGTTTCGCCTTCGTTTCCGCCCTTCGTTCTCGCCTTCGTTTTCGCCTTCGTTTCGTTTCGTCCTCGTTTCGGTCTTGTTATCGCATTCGTTCTCGCCTTCGTTTCGCTTTCGTTTCGCTTTTGTTTCCGTTTCGTTTTTGCTTTTGTTCTCGCCTTCGTTTCGTTGTCGTGTCGCCTTAGTTTCCGATCTCGGTTTCGCTTTCGTTCTCACGTTCGTTCCGCCTTCGTTTCTCGTTCGTTTCCGCTCTCGTTCTCGCCTTTGTTCTCGCCTTCGTTTCGTCTTCGTTTGGCTTTGTATCCGCCCTCGTTTCCCACCTTCGTCTCGCCTTCGGTCTCGCCTTCGTTTCGCTCCCGCTCTCGTTCTCGCCTTCGTTTCGCCCTCGTTTCGTGCTTGTTTCCGTCTCGTTTCCGCTGTCGTTCTCGCCTTCGTTTCGTTTTGGTTCCCGCTCACGTTCTTGCCTTGTTCTCGCCTTCGTTCGGCCCTCGTTTCCGTTCTCGTTCCCGCCTTCGTTTTCGCCTTCGTTTCTCCCTTGGTTCCGCCTGGGCCAAATTAATCTTGCTTAGCCGAGCCCCTGGGTCTTACCAAACCAACCGCGCTTTCCCAAACCAAACGGGTCTTGCCAAACCAAGCCCCCCTGTCTTCCCAAGCCTACCGGGTCGTCCCAAAAATCAAGCCCCCGGGTCTTCCCAAACCAAGCGGGTCTTCCCAAACCAACAGGGTCTTTCCAAACCAGGTAGGTCTTCCCAAACCGAAGACCTTGGTCTTCGCCAAAGCGACCATGTCTTCTAAAACAACCAGGGTCTTTCCAAACCAGTTGGGTCTTCCCAAGCCAAGCCCACGGGCCTTCACAGACCAATTGCGTCTCCCCAAACCAACCAGGTCGTCCCAAAGCAAACGAGCGTTCCCAAACCAATTGGGCCTTTCCAAACCAACCCCCTGGGTCTTCACAGACCAACCGTGTCTTTCCAAACCAGCCGGGTGTTCCCAAACCAAGCTCTGGGTCTTCCCTAACCAAGAGGGTCTTCCCTAACCATCCGGGTGTTCCCAAACCGAGCCCTGGGTCACCCTAACCGAAGGTGCGGTTTGGGAAGACCCGTTTGGTTTGGGAAAGACGCCCCCCCCAAAGGAGGAGGAGGAGGAAAAGCAGGAGGAGGAGGAGCAGGAGGAGGAGGAGGAGGAGCAGGAGGAGGAGCAGGAGGAGGAGGAGCAGAAGGAGCAGGAGAAGCAGGAGGGGCGGGAGACGAGCAGGGAAGGTGGATACTCTCTGTCCCTCAATAGTTTTGGGTCCCCGGACTGCTGGTACCCCCCGGACTACAGTCCGGGGGGTACCAGCAGTCCGGGGGGTACCAGCAGTCGGGGGACCTAAAAGTATTGAGGGACGCAGAGTAGCCGATCAGCTTGCACGCCTTGTCGCGCCTAGCAGGCGTGGGTCGGCGGACTTTCGCCCCGAAAGGTGCACGTGGGCCAGCCCCCGCCCGCAGACGCGGTGCCGCTCTTCCTGCAGGCGGCGCTGAACGAGCCGGAGCTCGCCGACGTGGAGTTCACCCTGAGGCCGTGGGGCTCCCCACAGGCTCGAAGGAGCAAAGGCACCATAGACTATAGACATGCGTTCCCCCAGAGATCCGAGACTCCGAGAACATTGGAGCGCAGTTGTTGTTTTTTGTTGCAAGCTTCGGCTTCTGGTGGGGCCCTCAGCGGGCTCTGGGGCGGTCAACAAAACGACTCAGGATGAGAAGCCAGCCCTGGGGAGGAAGCTGTCCAGATATCGTGGGTCCACGCGTCGGAAAATTGGATCGCCGGATGTCCAGGCGGTTGGCGTTGAAAAACATGGCGTGCAATGTGGCGCCGCTGGCCAGCTGACAGACGCGATCCCCTACCTTGGATGTAGCATGCGCCGAAGAAGCCTTGGGGGGGATGGCGTGCACAGAGCGGGGCCCTCTCAGAAAGGGCTCTCGCGGGGGGAATCGCCTCACAGGGATGGCTTCGGAGATCGATGCTGCACCGCATCGTTCGAATCTGCCGAGCTCCGCGCGGAGCTCTTGGATCTGCGTTGGCCCCCCCTGGCGTTGCCTCCAGCGTGCCCCTGGAGGGGGACCCAGCGCCGATCCCAGAAATCCGAAATAGTTCTGGAAGTTTATTGAAGAGGCTCAGGCCCTTCCGCCGACCCCCTGAAGAGGAAGTGTGCGGCTTCGAATTCGTATTTTGTTGGTTGCCGTTTCCCGCCGTTCTGCTTGCGTGTAGCCGTTGCTGATGCGCCCTCCTCTTCCTTCGCGCCTTTTGCAGGGGCCTCTCGGGGGCCCTTCGAAGGCCCAGGAAGGCCTCCGAAAGTTTATGCCAGTGCGGTTGCTGCTGCCCTGCTGAGGAGCCGCAGACGGTTTTCGCGCACCGCCTCATCCTGGCGGCGGCGTGCGAGCACTTCCGCACCATGTTCACCAGCGGCTGCGCCGAGTCTTGCGGCGTCGGCGGGCGCGCGAAGATCGACATGCCAGATTGGGTGACGAGGAAGCCGCTGCTGTGGCTCCTGGCCTACCTGTACCAGGCGTGCCCGCCGCCCCCTGGGCGGCGACGATGAGGGAATGGGTGCCATGGGTTTCGTGGGTTTTGATGGTTTTGCTACGGAGAGCGTAGCGTCCCCACGCCAACAATCCATGGACGTCCTGGGGTTCCAGGGTTGGGTTTCCTGTGGAAGGTCTCTTGTGGTCGAGCCCCTACTGTGGAACGAGGGCAGGATCGGGACAGAGCGGGCTCGGGAGAAATCGGGGATCTCTGAGGTCCCGCGGTTGGGAGCGGGCGCCGCGGCCTTCTCAGAGCGTCTTCCGAAACTCTCTGAGATCGTTCCGGAACGCCTTGTAGCGACCTGTCCTGATCGTGGACCCGATTTGGTCGGGGCTCCCCTAACGGTGCGGTGACCACACCATGTGGTGAGTCAGTGGGGCTTCGAGGTGGCCGTACGGTTTAGAGACTTGAGTCGATCTCCGAGGACGTCTCGGGCGGTTGGGACCTCCAGGCTCCCAAAACCGTGAGCGGTGGACCGTGCGGTGCGATCCTTGGGGGACCCGACGTCGCTGCACGGTCTGCCGCCGCACAGGTTTGGTTCTGGCTCGATGGCGTGCAGTCGAGGCAGGAGGATCGAGGAGGTTGGAAAGGGGCGAAGAGAGTCGACCAAAAGGCAAACGACACCACCCCACCTACGGTCCTCCATGTTGCGCTACGGCCCATCGGGGGCCGTAGCGTATACCATGCAAGAACCCACGCCAGATGTCCTGGTATGCGCCACGGCCCGTGGGGCCGTAGGTGGGGTGGTGTCGTTCGTTTCCCGGTCCAGAGAGGAAGGGCAGGCTGCACTCGCGCAGGAGCTGAGGTCCTACCCCTCGCCCCACACTGCGCAGAGAGCTCTCTCCGTCCGCCGGCGGACGCATCATGGCAGACGTGGGGCCCCCCCCAGAGGACACCCATATCGTGTCAACGCGCTGCCAGAGCGGAGGGGCTGCGCGCACTGGAGGAGCAGGAGGAGGACGACGAGGAGGAGCAGGAGGAAGAGGAGGAGGTGGCGGATCCGCAGGAGGATGAGCAGGAGGAGCAGAAGGAGCAGCAGGAGGAGGAGGAGGGCGGAGGACAAGGATGGAAGGCTAGCGAACCCATGGGATTTGTGTTTCTTCCGGGAAGCAGGCCGTTTACTATTCGGCGCGCTGGGTTTTATTCCAGGGATTTATAACCTCATGCCCGTGAGAATAAACACTAGGGGATAATAAAATTCGGGGTTCAGGGAGAGATAATAAAAGTAGCCCAGCAGACCTCAACATAATCTCGAAGTAAGAGATGATCAAGAGGAGACCAAGCCGAGCACGTTTTGAGACATCCTTGGCGTTTAGTTTTCATAGAAATATCATCAACAATGGCTTATCTCTCATGAAAATTGTTTTTTGTAAGTGCTCGTGTAGGGTAGCTCATGTGCCTCAATTTCCATGGATAATCAACCCCAGAGATAAAAAAGTTCAGGCGAGCGTGGGGACAGAGAGAAATATAAAAGAAGAAGAATACAGTAGAATAATAATAAGAAAGAAGAAGAAGAGGATAATAAGAAGAGGACGAAGAAAGGAAAAATCCAAAGTTCCAAATCTATCAATTTTAATTTACAAACGCTTTATGAACATTGATTTTTTAAGTGCTCGTGTAGGGTAGCTCATGTGCTTCATTTTCCATGGATAATCAACCCCAGGGATAAAAAAGTTCAGGCGAGCGTGAGGACAGATAGAAATATAAAAGAAGAAGAGGAAAGTAGAAGAATAATAAGAACATTGCTCGTTTCGTTTGAGTCTGCCTCCCAAAATTATTGGTTTCGCTTGACACATCCTGAAAAAGTGTGATCGCTTCGCTTGATGTTGCTATATCAACATCGCTTGATGTTGCTATCTCAACATAGCGTTTCGAGGTGATAATGAAGTTCGGCCTCAGCGCTCGCCGCCCAATTTGAATTTTGTATAGGGCGACGATAATCAACTCTAAACACTGAAGGGGGGGGTCCCTTTATTATCATCGGCATGCGGTTATTTTTCTCCCGGGAAGACCGATTTGGCAGCTACGGATCTGCCAGCCTTCGCCCAGCAGCTTAGCAACGATGCCCAGGCGAGCTGTTGGCGGGAAAGGAAGCAGATCGGGGGCTGGCGGGGCGAGGCCAAGTGAGCAACGCAAGAAAACAGGGCCGTCTGCGCCGACACTGGCGCGCAGGCTGCCCGCGCAAGGTCGCGCGCACTTGCGCCCTTGTCTCCAAGGTGGCGTGCCGCGCTGACGGCCCGCGCAAGCCGCGGCGTCAGGTCGCGGTCGCTATGCCATCTCGCGCAAGACCCGTTCTTGATCCTTGCTCAAGCGAAACGGCGTCCCGCGACCAGGGCATCGGTTTCGGTTTCGATTCGCGTCGTGCGTCTGGGCGAGGGCCGGGTGGGGCCAAAATGTGTCGTCGGCCCCGGCCTGGGCGTGGCCGGGGCTGTCCCGAAGCTGTTCCGCCGTGGCCCTGTGGCGTGCATGGGCTTGTTCTGCGGTTGCCTTGCCATTGTCCCGCCGTCGTCCCGTGGTTGTTCGAGGGTTGTCCCGCAGTTGTCCCTCGGTTGGTCGGTGGTTGCCCCGTGGTTCAAGCAGTGGTGAAGCGTTCCAGCTCGCCTATAGGTCTACCAAATAATGTTCTAACCGTTTGTGGTCTGCACGACATGCTCTTAGAACCTTTCAGGCTGAGACCGTCTTGCTTTAACACATCGGGCTCATGTTCTAAGGGACGGTCGGTCCCTGCTCAAGTGGTGGTCCCGTGGTTATCCCCCCCCCGCCCCCCCCCAAAAAAAAATTAGCCTGGCGAAGGACCCAACTGATGCAGTTGTGAATACAGCAGTTGTGAATATCGTCCTCGGTGGAGCTCCTTATGGGGCCACGAACTGTGTGAGGGGTCTTCCACAGTGGTGGTGGTGGTTGTGGATGTGGGGAACCGCATGCGGGCACCCCCACTGGAGCCTTCGGTGGAGCTCCCTATGGGGCCACGAAGCGCTGCCCTGGGTGGGGGAAGCGCATGCGGGCACCCTCACTGGGGCCGACGGTGGAGCTCCCTATGGGGCTACGAAGCGCTGCCTTGGGTTGGGGAAGCGCATGCGGGCACCCCCACTGGGGCCTACGGTGGAGCTCCCTATGGGGCTACGAAGCGCTGCCCTGGGCGGGGGAACCGCATGCGGGCACCCCCACTGGGGCCTTCGTTGGAGCTCCCTATGGGTGCCACGAAACGCTGCCCTGGGTGGGGGAACCGCATGCGGGCACCCCCACTGGGGCCTTCGGTGGAGCTCCTTATGACGCCACGAAACGCTGCCCTGGGTGGGGGAACCGCATGCGGGCACCCCCACGGGCCTGCGGTGGAGCTCCCTGTGGGGCTTCGAAACGCTGCCATGGGTGGGGGAACCGCATGCGGGCACCCCCACTGGAGCCAAGAAACGCTGCCCTGGGTGGGGGAAGCGCATGCCAGCACCCCCACTGGGGCCTGCGGTGGAGCTCCCTGTGGGGCCACGAAGCGCTGCCCTGCATGGGGGAAGCGCATGCCAGCACCCCCACTGGGGCCTTCGGTGGAGCTCCCTATGGGGCCACGAAGCGCTGCCCTGGGTGGGGGAACCGCATGCGGGCACCCCCACTGGGGCCTACGGTGGAGCTCCCTACGGGGCTACGAAGCGCTGCACTGGGTGGGGGAACCGCATGCGGGCACCCCCACTGGGGCCTACGGTGGAGCCCCCTGTGGGGCTACGAAGCGCTGCCCTGCGTTGGGGAAGCGCATGCGGGCACCCCCACTGGGGCCTACGGTGGAGCTCCCTGTGGGGCCACGAAACGCTGCCCTGGGCGGGGGAACCGCATGCGGGCACCCCTACTGGGGCCTTCGGTGGAGCTCCTTATGGGGCTACGAAGCGCTGCCCTGGGTGGGGGAACCGCATGCGGGCACCCCCACTGGGGCCTTCGGTGGAGCTCCTTATGGGGCCACGCAACGCTGCCCTGGGTGGGGGAACCGCATGCGGGCACCCCCACTGGGGCCTTCGGTGGAGCTCCCTATGGGCTACGAAACGAAGCAAGGAGGGGGAGGAAGGAGGAGGGGGGGTGGGGAGGAGGGGGGAGGAGGAGGAGAGGAAGGAAGGAAGGAAGGAAGGAAGGAAGGAACGCGGGGCGCTGTCACTTCAAAACGAGGACCCAACACCACAGGATGGTTAGGAACTTAGCCTGACGAAGGACCCAACCATATGCAGTTGTGAATACCGCAATTGTGAGTACCATCTTCGCCCGCGCTCCCTATGGGGCCACGAAACGTGTGAGGGGTGTGCCAAAATGGGGCGCGTACCGCATTCGGGCTGCGCCACTGGGATCTTGGGTGGAGCTCCCTATGGGGCCACGAAACGTGTGAGGGGTGTGCCAAACTTGGGCGCGTACCGCATGCGGGCTGCGCCACTGGGGCCTAAGGTGGAGCTCCGTATGGGGCCACGAAACGTGTAAGGGGTGTGCCAAAATTGGGCGCGTACCGCATGCGGGCTGCGCCATTGTGGCCTAAGGTGGAGCTCCCTATGGGGCCACGAAGCGTGTGAGGGGTGTGCCAAAATTGGGCGCGTACCACATGCGGGCTGCGCCACTGGAGCCTACGTTGGAGCTCCCTATGGGGTCACGAAACGTGTGAGGGGTGTGCCAAAATTGGGCGCGTACCGCATGCGGGCTGCGCCACTGGGACCTTGGGTGGAGCTCCCTATGGGGCCACGAAACGTGTGAGGGGTGTGCCAAAATTGGGCGCGTACCGCATGCGGGCTGCGCCACTGGGACCTTGGGTGGAGCTCCCTATGGGGCCACGAAACGTGTGAGGGGTGTGCCAAAATTGGGCGCGTACCGCATGCGGGCTGCGCCACTGGGACCTTGGGTGGAGCTCCCTATGGGGCCACGAAACGTGTGAGAGGTGTGCCAAAATTTGGCGCGTACCGCATGCGGGCTGCGCCACTGGGGCCTAAGGTGGAGCTCCCTATGGGGCCACGAAACGTGTGAGGGGTGTGCCAAAATGGGGCGCGTACCGCATGCGGGCTGCGCCACTGGGACCATAGGTGGAGCTCCCTATGGGGCCACGAAACGTGTGAGGGGTGTGCCAAAATTGGGCGCGTACCGCATGCGGGCTGCGCCACTGGGACCTTGGGTGGAGCTCCGTATGGGGCCACGAAACGTGTGAGAGGTGAAGATGATGGTGGGAGGAAGGAGGAGGGGAGAGAGGAGGAGGAAGGAGAGGAGAGGAGAGGAGGAACGCGGGGCGCCGTCTCTTCAAAACGAGGACCCAACACCACAGGATGGTTGGGAAACAGACGAGCAAGGGCCCGCAAGAGCGACCTCCCGGAGCCGCCTGCATACCTGGGGGGCCGATGGGATGGGGCCTCTTCTTATTTCATTATGTCCTTGGCCCCCCCCCCCCCAGGGCGCGCACATGCCGCCGGCCATGATTTGCGCCCCCTCCTCTTGGACGCCCCCCTCTTGGCCGCCCCCGATGGTCCGGAGAAGCGACCTCCCGGGTCCGCCCGCACCCCTGGAGGGTCGGTGAGATTTTGACCCTACGTGCCTCCCAGTGACCCCCCCTCTTGGTGGGTATGTGAACTGTGATGTGAGTGTGCTGTGTGGGTGGTCCTGTAGGTTCGTGATGTGTGTCTGTTCTGTGATGTGATGTGGGTACTGTGATGTGGTCGTGCTGTGATGTGATGTGGGTGCTGTGTTATGGTCTGTGATCTTGTGAAGTGTGTTATGTGCGCGTTGCCCGTGTATGGATTCCACTTCTTGTGGATGTGTTGTCAGGTTATGTAGTGTGTGTGTGTGTGTGGATGTGTCCTGTTTTGCGGTAGTTTTAAGCTCATTTTCTAGCTCCACCTCCACATCCTCAGTACCCGATGCGCTATACCCCTTTATCTCTCATACTCTACCAACACCACCTCCTCCGATGCAGCTTAGCCCACGCCGCATTTTCTCCAGGAGCACTGAGTGGGACTGTTCACAGGGTGTCCTAGTCGTGTTACTTGTTCCCACTATTTTTGTATCGGAGGTTGGAGGGTGAGATCGAAGTGGAACGGAGAGCCCCCCACGGGGAGATCGGTTTCAGTTTCGTGTTCGTGCGTGCCGCGCGTGCGGGCGAGGCGAAGCTGCGTGGGCGGGCGAGAGAAAAGTCTCCTGTGGCTGAGGCGCGGCCGGACCAAATGATTCTCCCTCCGGCAAGCGGTGGCCCGCGGTGTCCCGCCGGTGTCCCGCCGGTGACCGCCGGTGTTCCGCTTGTGGCTGGGCCCCGGCCGGACCAAATGATTCTCCCTCCGGCAAGCGCGGTGGCGCGCGGTGTCCCGCCGGTGCCCCGCCTGTGTCCCGCCGGTGTCCCGGTGTCCCGCTGGTGCGAAAACGATAGTGAGACCTCGCGGTGCATGAAAGCAGCAAGCGTGCGCCATCCCCGAAAGGCTCCCAAGAGGCACCCAAGAGGCCCCCAAGAGGCTTCCAAGACCTCCCAGACCTCCCAAGAGGTCCAAAAGACGCGCTCAAACGGCCCCCCAAGCCCTTGCAAAATGAACTAAATAAAATTTCGTTGGTTCCCGGGGGGGGAGAATGATACCAAGGCGCCCAAGAGCGAAGGATGACGTAAACAACTCGACACCAAGGCACCCAAGAGCGAGCGGCAACGCAACAATCACCACTGTTGCGCTGTTGCCCATTGCTGGCCCCCCTCCCCCCGCCAACCTCCTTATCACCCGCAGGGTGGTCGCATAGGTATGTTTTGTATGTGTTTGGAATTGTTTTGCATGTTTCGTCCAAAATCCGCCAGAAGAGTGACCTCCCGGATCCGCCTGTATCCCCGGAGGGCCAGTGGGATTTCTGGCAGAGGCGGAGGGCGAGGAGGGCCGGGAGAGGGGGCGGCGGCCCTTCCGACCCTTTTACTTTTTAGTCCAAAAATGGTACGGGGATGATTTGTTCAAGGTTTTTGCATGTTTTTGTTCGAATACGTTGGGGCTATTTTTCTGTCGTCCACAATCCGCCGGAAGAGCGACCTCCCAGATCCGCCTGTATCGGGGCTCAACAGACAGGGGTCCATGCAAACGGGGGTCAGCCAGAGCGCCCGATCTTGCAGGATCCTGCAGGGCAGGGTCGCATTGACCCGGGCTTGGGTGCAGGATCCTGCAGGATCTGTCGCATTGACCCAGGCTTGGGTGCATGATCTTTCAGGATTTTGTGGGATTTTGCAAGGCTTGACTGGCCCGGGTCTGGATTGACCCGGGTGAGAGGATCCCCGACTGTACCCCCGGAGGGCCAGTGGGATTTGGGGCAGAGGCGGAGAGGGCGAGGAGGGCCGGGACAGAGGGCGGCGGCCCTTCTGACCCTACATACTCCCCCACAGAGACTCCGCTTGCTCCTCTTGCTCCTGCTCGTCCTCCCTCCTCCTCCTCCTCCTCCTCCAACTCCTCCTCCTCCGCCTTCTCCTCCTCCTTCTCCTCCTCCTCCTGATCCTCCTCCATTCCTTTTCCTTATAAATAACTTCTCCCTGTCGCACCCCAAGGCCAGTTTTTAGGGCGGGCCGGGCTTTTCGCCTGAGTTTTCTTCACCGTTTATGATTCTGAAACATCAGAAAGATTGACAACCGCTTCACAGATGGAGGGCGGGTGGTTTTTTAATGTGGATCTCGCCTTAGCGCGGCGCACATTCGTTTTAAGCATTTGCAAGAGCTTCACGGATTGAGGGCGGGTCGTTTTCAAAATGTGGTTCTCGCCTTAGCGCGGCGCACGTTCGTCTTGAACATTTGAAAGAGTTTCACGGATTGCGGGCGGTTGGTCTTCAAATTGTGTCTCTCGCCCTAGCGCGGCGCACATTCGTTTTAAACACTTGCAAGAAATTCACGGATTCCCACCATCAGCGTACCAACAAATAGTGTGTAGCAAGGATTCAGGATTGCGCGGGCGCAACAGTTACGTTGATTCGTTGCGTTGAAGTGCCAGGAATGGCGTTCTGGCACGATTATGGATCGTCAGGTTGATCCGTGGCGTTGGAATCCCGAGACCAATGTTTTAGCATGTTGCAGGGTCTTCAAGCGGTTGTTTTACAACGAGGCACTTCCCACAATGAAAACGAACCGTCGTAGGGCCTGTGGAGAGGGAGTTTGGAGGGAGCGTTTATTCCAACATCGTTGATGCCTCTTGGGTTTACACTGGTCCTCCTCCTCCTCCTCCTCCTCATCCCCATCCTTCTCCTCCTTCTCCTCCGAGCCGCGGCACCAACGTGGACCCCCGAAGATGGCTTGGGAGCTGCCCGCCCCCAGCGGCGCGCCGCTCCGCCTGGCAGGGCAGGCTCCCGTCCTGCGGTGCTCCCGCTCGCTCATTCCGTGCGCGCGCTACTCGGTGTCCGTGGGCGGTGCCGCCGCTGCAGCGCTGGCCTCGTCTTGGGGCTCGGCGCTGCGCTCCCGTCGTGCGGGGCCGCGCTCTCGCCCCAGGGCGGGCCGCTGTTCTGGTTTCCTGGTTTTGTGCATGTCTTTTCATAGTTTTTCATGCTTTTTCCTGGTTTCTCCTGGTTTCTCCTGGTTTCTCCTGGTTTCCCTGTTTTTCTATGTTTTTTCCTGGGGCTGCTGTTCGTCCTCGTCCTCCTCCCTTCTCACTCTCCTCCTGTCCCTCCTGGTCATCCTCCTGCTCATTCGCCACCTCCTTCCCCTCCTCCTCCTGTGTCCGCAGCTGACCTCTTCTCATGAGTTATCCAGGTACGCTGTGGCACGCTTCCAGGGACAGAGAGAAACAGCGCAATGGCAAGGGATGGGTGCGAGGGGTAGGATGTCAGATGTGGCGCGAGCGCACCCAGCTTGCCCTCGCCATCTCCTCTTCGCTCTCTCCCCTTCGCCCTCTCATCCTCCCTCTCCCTCCCTCTCCCTCCCTCTCCTCCTCCCCCCCAGTTGGGGCTTGCCTCAGGCAGAGGGCGCTTCCCCATGTGCAGATCCTTCGACCTCGAAGGACTGTCTGACGGCGGTCGACCTCGAAGGACTGTCTGACGACGACTGTCTGATCCTCCCGGCCTCCCGACCTCTCCTTGAGCGCGGTCTGAGCAGTTCCTGGAGGCGGACCCAGCCGTGGCGACGAGGGACCCCTCTGGAGGGCCCCGAGACGTGCCGAACGCGCCCAAATCCCTCCTCCCTGCCCCTCTCCTCCCTCGCTCCCCTCTTCTCGCCACCCTCCCTGCCTCATCCCTCCCCCCTCTCCTCTCTCCTCCTCCCCCTCGCGGCGCAGGGCTACGACCCTCAGGCGGCCCTCCACGCCGCCGCGCGCCTCGAGGCGCGCCTGGGAGCCGGGCGCGGCCTGGACGATGCGGGGGCCAGTCGCCGAGGAGCCCCGTCCATTTTCCGCGCCCCTGCTCCGAAGCCGCTTCCTCCTCCTCCTCCTCCTCCTCCTCCTCCTCCTCCTCCTCCTTCTCCTAATCCTCCATGCCGTTTCCTTACAAATAATTTCTCCCTGTCGCACCCCGAGGCCAGTTTTTAGGTCTGTGCAGGCCTGTGTCTCCTCCTTCTCCTCCTCCTCCTTCTCCTCCTCCTCCTCCTCTTCATTCTCCCTCTCTCGAAGAAGGCAAACGCCCCAAATACACAAGCTTTTGGCGCTCCGCGCGGATTTCTTGGGTCTGCGCTGGGGCCCCCTGGCGGCGCCTCCAACGCATCCAAGAAGTCCGCGCGGACATCCGCGCGCAGATCCAAGAAATCCCTGCCCCCGCTCCGAAGCCGCTTCGCCCTCGTCATCCTCCCTCCCTCCTCCGCCCTGCTCTGCCCCTCCTCCCTCCCTGCCTCAACCCTCCTGCCTCCCTCCCTCCCTCCCTCCTCCTCGTCCATCCCTCCCTCCTCCCCTAGGCCTCCCAGATGGGGCCGGAGTAGATGGGGTCGGATGATCGCGCCCCATCGCCGATGCATCGCCGATGCGGCTCGATGTGGGGCCCGACTTGCTTCACGTTGACGTCGCCGATGCACCTCCTACGTCGCAAGAGCATCGCCGATGTATCGGCGATGCGGCGCGATCCCCCGACCCCCTCTACTCGGAGCCCGTCTAGGAGAGCTCTAGAAGCTGTTTCGTCCTTGTCATCCTCCCCCCCTACGCCCTGCTCTGCCCCCCTCCTTCGGTAGCAAACCATGGGAGCCTGGTATACCCTCTTACATTCAGTCTTTTGCGTCGGCTAGCGTTGATTAGCGTATGGGAGTCGATGAGATAGCGCCGCTTCAGCGTCGATTAACGTCGACTTAGCGTCGATTTAGCGTCGACTAGCGTCGATTCGCAAGAGCCGACAAGATGGTATGGGAGGCTCCCATGAGTTGCCATCGAACCCTCCACCCTCCCCCGCCCTCCCTGTCGGCCATCCTCTTTCCGGTCCCCCGCTCTCGTCCTGTGTCCTCCCTCCGGCACCCCCCCCCAAACTTCCCATCCGGCATCTTCGTCTTCTTCCTCCTCCTTCTTCTTCTCCTCTTGCATCCTCTGGATTCCCTTCGGGGATCGTCCGTCAACCTTGGGACGACACGAAGAAGCTTAGCACGGCCCCTGCGCAAGGATGGCACGCACACCTCGAGAAGTGTACACAATGCTCTGCGTACGCTCGTCTTATGATGCTCCAACTTACTTCAGCCTTGATCACCAGGAAGAATTTCGAGCGCCCCAAACAAGTACCGAAGCTCAAGGGTTTTCCCGGGTGCTCGAAATCATTTCTGGGATGTGGTCCTTAAGTAGGGATGGGAACACCACAACGCTCGCCTCCTCCCGCGTCCTCGCCTCCACCGTCACGGCGCTGCCCCCCGGGAGCGCGCGTGGGGCCCCGAGGGCGGAGGCCGCTCCTCAGAGTGCCGCGCGGGCCTCCGCCGTCGCCGCCGTCGAGGGGCGCGTCGCCGCCGCGAGGCGCACGAGGGGACCCTGACGCCGACGGGACCCTCCCGGGAATCGAGCGCCAGTTTTGAGGGCTGATCCACGCGCGAAGCGCTTCGGCCCAGGGGGTCGGACCTGCGCGCTTGCAGGCGCCGGTCTCGGCGCGAGCGTTGGCACTCTGGGGTCCCGGGGCGCCGCCACGCTGCGGGGAGAGCCTGCGGTTGATTTCGAGGAGGGCTGCAGGCTGCCTTCTACTCTCCGCCCTCCTGCGCCCCTGCTCCGCGCAGCCCTCCGCTCCGCTTCCTCACATCCTGCTCCGTTCTGCCTCTCCTCTGCGCGTGCCCCGCGCCGCGAGCGCTGACGGGCTGCGCAAGGGAGGGAGGAGGGAGGAGGGAGGAGGAAGGAGGAGGGAGGAGGAGAGAGGAGGAGGGAGGAGGGAAGGAGGGAGGGAGGGAGGGAGGGGGAGGGAGGGAGGGGGAGGGAGGGAGGGGCGGGGGGGGGGGGAGGGGGGGAGGGGGGAGGGAGGGGAGGGAGGGGGGAGGGGGGGAGGGGAGGGGAGGGGGGGAGGGGAGGGAGGGAGGGAGGGGGGAGGGAGGGAGGGAGGGAGGGAGGGAGGGAGGGAGGGAGGGAGGGAGGAGGAGGGAGGAGGAGGAGGAGGAGGAGGAGGAGAGGAATGAGAGGAGGAGGATGAGGAGGAGGAGGAGGAGGAGGAGGAGAGAGGAAGAAGAGGGAGGAGGAGGGAGGAGAGAGAGGAGCGAGAAAAGAGGAAGGAGGGCAGAGGAGGGAGGAGGAGGGAGGAGGAGGAGGAGGAGGGAGGGAGGGAGGGAGAGGGAGGAGGGAGGAGGGAGGAGGAGGAGGGAGGAGGGAGGAGGGAGGAGGGAGGAGGGAGGGAGGGAGGGGAGGAGGGAGGAGGAGGAGGAGGAGGAGGAGGAGGAGGAGGAGGAGGGAGGAGGAGAAGGAGGAGGAGGAGGATGAGGGGGAGAAGGAGGAGGAGGAGGAGGAGGAGGAGAGGAGGAGGAGGAGGAGGAGGAGGAGGAGGGGAGGAGGGAGGAGGGAAGAGGAGGAGGAGGAGGGAGGAGCGTTGATGGGCGGAGTGAGGAGCGAGGCGAGGGAGGAGGGAGGAGGAGGGAGGAGGACGGAGGGGGACGGAGGAGCGTTGATCGAAGGAGGGGGGAGCGAGGCGGAGGTAGGAGGAGCTCAGGGCGACGTCGGGTTCGGGGGGGGGGGGTCGGGGCTCAGGGCGGGATGCATCGACCCCGAGTCGCCGATCCGTCGGCGGTGCATCCCCGGTTCCAGGTCGATGCTCCCCACCTGAGCTGGGCCCCCCAAGCGGGGTGGTGACCGCAGCTTGTGGCGAGTCGGTGGGGATTCGGGGTCACCGCACGGTTTTGGGACTCGGGTCGTTCTCCGAGGGTGTCTCGGGCGACTGGGGGCCTCCAGGGTCCCAAAAAACCGTGCGCGGACGGACCGTGCGGCCAGGTCTTTGGGGGAATCCTCGAGGTCACGGCACGGTCTGTCGCCGCACCGCCTCGGGACTCCGAGCACCTGAGCTGGCCCCCCCCTGGGCCGGTCGATGGCGGCCACTGCGGCAAACACAAGCGAGTGGTTTGGTGATCGCAGGAGGAGGAGGAGGAGGAGGAGGAGGAGGAGGAGGAGGAGGAGGAGGAGGAGGAGGAGGAGGAGGAGGAGGAGGGAGGAGGAGGGAGGAGGGGGAGGAGGGAGGAGGGAGGAGGGAGGAGGGAGGAGGGGAGGAGGAGGGAGGAGGAGGGAGGAGGGAGGAGGGAGGAGGAGGAGGGAGGAGGAGGAGGAGGGAGGAGGGAGGAGGGAGGAGGGAGGAGGGAGGAGGGAGGAGGGGGAGGAGGGGAGGAGGGAGGAGGAGGAGGAGGGAGGAGGGAGGAGGGAGGAGGGAGGAGGGAGGAGGGAGGAGGAGGGAGGAGGGAGGAGGGAGGAGGAGGAGGAGGAGGGAGGAGGAGGAGGGAGGAGGGAGGAGGGAGGAGGGAGGAGGGAGGAGGGAGGAGGAGAGGAGGAGGAGGAGGAGGAGGAGGAGGAGGAGGAGGAGGAGGAGGAGGAGGAGGAGGAGGAGGAGGAGGAGGAGGAGGAGGAGGAGGAGGAGGAGGAGGGAGGAGGAGGAGGAGAGGAGGAGGAGGAGGAGGAGGAGGAGGAGGAGGAGGAGGAGGAGGAGGAGGAGGAGGAGGAGGAGGAGGAGAGGAGGAGGAGGAGGTGGAAGAGAGAGGAGGAGGAGGAGGAGGAGGAGGAGGAGGATGAGGAGGACGAGGAGGAGGAGGAGGACGAGGAGGAGGGGGAGGAAGGAGGTGGAGGCATCACACCAACCCTAGGAGCTCGCATGTAGCAGTGGAGAATGTGATTTGGAAGGCGATCGAGGTTCTCCCGCCCGTCAAGTCTTGCAGATATCCCAGGCGCAAGGTGCGGCTTTCGAATCCCAGCAGCACTGGACTGTACAACCAGCTCGCTACCGCTGGGAATAAGTTTTCTTCCTCTTACAACGAACCATCGGGGAATTTTTTTTTCGTGGGTGAGTGACGCCAACGATATTATCGAATGGTCTTCGGCCTATCCCGCAACCGTGCCTGGGTGGTGGGTCAGAGGCCTCACGGATGTTGGTTGGGATCTCGTGGTTCGGGGAGTTTTGGGAGGCAGTCTTGAGGCCTCTTGAGGCCGCTTGGGGGTAATTTGGGGGCCTCTTGGGGCCTTTTCGGCCTCTTTGCAGCCTCTTTGGGGCCTCTTGGGGCTTCTTGGAGGCCTCTTGGGGGCCCCTTGGAGCTTCTTGGAGGCCTCTTGGGGCCTCCTGGGGGCCACTTGGAGCGGAAGGCTCGGATTTTCTACTCCTGGTCCCCCTCTTGGCGCCGTCTTGGGGCCCTCTTGGGCCGTCTTGGGAGCCTATTGGGCCATCTTGGAGCCCTCTTGGGCCGTCTTGGGGCTCTCTTGGAGGCCTCTTGGGCTGTCTTGGGGCGGTTTGGGGCCTTGGAGCGTCGGAAAGCCGAAAAGACGAGAAGACCAAACTTGTTCAAACACCAATGTGGAATCAACGATTTTGGCCTCTCAGGCCCCTCCCGGGAGGCCTCTTGGGGCGTCTGGGCGGCCTCTTGGGCCGTCTGGGGGCAATCTTGGGCCTCCTGGGGCGTCCTGGGGCGATCGTCTGGCGACTCGAGGCCGTCCTGGGCCGTCTTGGAGGCCTGAGGGGAGCCTCTGGGCTCGTCTTTGGGGCCCTCTTGGGCCCGAATCAGTCACGCGAGAAGACGCGCCAAACCCAAGAATATTTGAGAATTTGGGATCCGGTCCCTTAAAAACCCCTCAGGAGTGAGGACTGAGGCTCAGGGGCTGGGTAAAGAACCTGAGAACACACCCACTCCGTGCCCAGAGCCCAGAGGCACGGTGGCGGATACGGGTGCGAAGCTTGGACGCTGCCGACAGATTTGGGTAACCGTTTGCAGAGACCTCCATGACATAAGCTGCGCATGGTACTTGGGGTAAAACCGCGCCGGCAACAATGCCTGGACAGCCCCGTTGGACGTCAAGCCATCGACACCGACCTTTCCAACAACGACACCAGCAACGTTTCCAACAAACACGACACTAAGACCATCTGCGACAAAGTCAATTTGATCGAAGAGGCAGATCACGTTCTAGAAGCACCGGGCGATCGAATTGAACGTGCGGCAACCGAGTCGCGAACGCGAATGCAACAGCTGAGTATCGAGGATGTGGCAGTTATGCCTCAACATCTGAAATTACAATCTGCTCGAGAGGACCGTGGTGGGCCAATTTGGAGTTGGCACTTGAAGGTGTTACGGTGGGGACGTTCGTTAAGGAACGTCCAAGGAGGTTTCAGGCCCTGGAGGGATCCTTATCTGATGAGGGCGGCGGTGATATCCATGGCCAATCCACGATTGGCTTTCCATTGGCTTCCAGACCCTGGATTCCTTATCTAAGGGTTCCTTATCCGATGCCCCCACCGTAGCGGTCTGTGCGCCTGAAGAAACCCGACGGACAGATGACCTGCGTAAATGGACCTTGGCTCATTATGGACGTGTAGGCTGGCACTGTGTCGCTACCACACGGGCGTTGGACGACTTCAGGGCACGTACCTTCAGCAGTCATGCTGCTGTCCGTCCTTCCTCCTCCTCCTCCTCTGAAGATGATGGTGATGATGCCGCTGATGATGCTGATGACGATGACGATGCTGATTATTGTGATGATGAAGATGACGCTGATGACGCTGACGATGATGATGATGATGATGATGATGATGATGATGATGATGATGATGATGATGATGATGATGATGATGATGCTGATGCTGATGCTGATGCTGATGCTGATGCTGATGCTGATGCTGATGCTGATGATGATGATGATGCTGATGCTGATGCTGATGCTGATGCTGATGCTGATGCTGATGCTGATGATGATGATGATGATGATGTTGATGGAAGTGATGATGGTGCTGATTGTGCTGATGAGGATAATGATGATGCTGATGAGGATGATGAGGATGATGATGTTGTTGATGATGGTCGCGGTGCTTCCCATGCACCATCCCCACACGAGCACGCATTTGCCGACTCGCTCCATGCAGGCGCCTCGGCGCCCCCTCCGCCGCGTCTCCACGGCGCCACGCTCGCAGAGCCGAGTCCGAGTCCGAGTCTGAGCGGGCCCCTCCCCCACCTGAACCCCGGGAGGGAGGGAGGAAGGAGGGGGGGGGCACGGGGGCGGGGGCAGCGAAGTCGGCGAGGAGAGTGGGTACGAGGTGGGCGAGCACGCAGAGAGAGAGGACGAGGACAAGGAAGATGAGGATGAGCAGGAGGGCGGACGGCCAGGACGGTGATGGGGGGGATGGCTGAAGTCGGTAACTAGGCCTGGTTCCGCTTTTCTCTCTCTACTGCATCGTGTACCGCATTCATCTCCTCCTCCCTAGCCGCCCTTCCTTTCTGCTCATCCTCCTTCAGCTTTCCCCCGTCCGATTCCTTCGAAGCGAGCTCTGCAAATTCTCATGAGCAGGTTTGGGTACAGCTAGGATTGTGACCTCATGACTCGCACCTGACGCTCTACAGGGGATACGGCGATGAAATGTTAAACAATTGCGGAAGATGTTTAAAACACACACGCTTAACCGAACATCGATCTTTGCATCATGGGACGCATAGTTGGCTCGATTATGTCACGGAGCGCCTGGCTGTGCATGCGCCTGTCGTCACCAACATCTGGGCTTCTGAGGTTGCCCGTCATTGGCGGGAAAGGGGCGCAGAGAGCAGGGGGAGCCTTGCCGTTGGAAATTTTGTGCGATGGGCCTAAGACCGACAAGTCGCGTCTCATGCATGCTGGGGCGAGGTTGTTCTCGCAGAGGGCCCGACTCCGAAACCTCAACCGGCTGCAGAAGTTCTCCTCGCAGACTGTCTAACGGAGTTGGTACTGCATGAGTTGCGTGAGAAATTGCTGGGGCGGCGCCATCAACAAAAGAGACTACATGATTAACGAACCATCTGAAAAGTTTCGGCTGTGTTGTAGAATTTGCTTGACCGGATCAGCGACTGGAGCCGCCACGATGCATCACAAGCGAACTCTTTGAACGGCACGACACATGGTCAATTCCATGTCGAAAAACATGTTTGGGATTCTGAAATCGTCCCCGTACGGCTTACCTTTGTCAATGATGTGTGCGCTCTTGTTGGTGGGCTCAAAAATCACTTGGTTGAGTTTTGAAGCGTGGTCTGGCAGCGATGGCACGCAGCGAGTATGGGCGAATTTGCGGCTGCACCTTCAATTTCTTTCCAACAGTTGAGGTAACCGGCGACGAAACTGCTCTCTGTGAGTTCGCCTAGGACACGGCGAGTTAGGCATCACCATGGAATACGTTCCAGAACGGAGAACAGTGCCTTGAACACCATGTTCAGAAGCAGGAGCGGTTGAGAAAGGGAGCCGTCCAAAATGACACCAGCCTGTTTCCCCAAAAGCCACGACCGAATAAACATCACAAGAGGCTCGCACACCCCGGAGGCGAACAGCTGTTCCAAGAGGCGCTCGGATTTGACCCTGTCGGATGCTCCGAGCACGTCCGAGCAGTACACCCCCACGCGCCGGCCACTGCACATGACGTGGATACAGCAGCACACCATGTATGCCAAAGCGTCTCTACAGCCCTCCGTCTCTTGTCTCTCACCGTCCTCCCACCATCTCCTCCTCCTCTTCTGCTGCTTGTCCTCCTCGTCATCCTCTTTCCTCACACCCCCGTAGACATGATCCCTCTTACCTTCTCCGAACCAGGGGCCAGCACAAGCAAATACAGCGGCTTACCAAGCTGGGCTTGTGCGCGTCACGAACGGCCGCTTGCGCGCGCCGCGCTTCTTGGACGAGGCGGGCGTTTCTTTTCCAGTGTTGCATGTATGAAGTATGAAGGGAGTTCAAGGTGAGGTGGGTGGGATCGGAGAAGGACCGGGCGGAGTGGGAGGAGTAGAAGGAGGAGGGGAGGAGGGAGGAGGATGAGGACGAGGAGGGATACGGAGAGAAAGAGAGAGTGAGAGAGAGAGAGAGAGACAGAGTGCAAGAAAGAGAGAGAAAGAGAGAGAGTTGGAGAGGGCGGGAGAGAGAGAGAGGGAGAGAGAAAGAGAGAAAGAGAGAGAGAGCGAGAAAGAAGTGAGAAGGAGAGGACAGTTGGCGAGAAGGGGAGAATGATGAGAGCAATGGTGACGACGACGACGACGACGATAATGACGATTTGGAAGGGTGAAGACGGGGAAACAGAGAGAGAGAGAGTGCGATGAGGGGGGATACGAAGAGCATACATGTTCTGAGGATGATGGGGAGGGTGATGTCGTGGATGATGATGCCGATGATGATGAAGAAGATGATGGTGATGATGATGATGATGGTGCTGTTGATGGTGATGATGATGCTGATGAGGATGATGATGGTGATGGGAACGATGAGTTTACCGATGATGAACACGGATGAGAAGATGCAGATGAGGGCATTGTGAGGTGGACGAGGAGACGGAAGCGGGACACGTACATGCAGTCGAGGGGGCATTTTGAGAATGGAATAGGGGAGAGGTGCCAAATGAGGATAAGAGAATTGGAGGGCGGGGTTTGAAGATGATGCACGCTGCGCAAATATTTTAATACAATACACAAACTACGTGTTCAACAGAGAGCGGGCCAGGCGAAAGGTAAACCGAGAGAGACAAGGGAGATTGATCGCGAAATGCATAGCTACCTATCTATATATATACATATGTGTAGAGAGGGAAATGAGGAGGAGGAGGGATTCAGGGATTCAGGATCGAATGCAGGTAGAGGAGTAGTTCCTGGAGGGAGGGCGAACGAGACGGAGGGGGGGGGGAAGGATGTGGAGGGGTAGGGGGAGGAATGAGGCACAAGGAACATTGGCGAGTAGGTGATTTATGTGGCGGATGGGACGGAAGGAGGAGTCAGGAGAGGCAGAAGGAGCAGGACAGAGGAGGATGAGGATGATGAGTGGATGAGGAAGGAGTGGTGAGGAGGAGAGGACGGATGAGCAGGAGGGCAAGGGAGTGTGAGAAAGACGAGGATGCAACGGAGAATCATGAGACGGATGCTTGATATTATATGTGTGGTGATGTTGCGATGATGAGGTTAATGAAGCGGGAGAGGAGGACGACGAGGAACGATGAGGAGCAGGGCGAGGAGAATAGGGAGGGACGGGACGTTGAGGAGGGGGGGTGAGGGACAGGCGAAGGTTGAGGATGGCCGTTCTTTGCTCCTGCGCCTTCCTCCCCAAACGCTCCTATGCTCTCTGCATACCCCTTCTTCGAAGAGTCTTGCGTGCTCTCGGGTGTCGGGTGTTTTCTCGTGTGCGCACCGACTGACCCACCACCTGTGCAGGGATCAACTCCGTTTGCTCTCTCATGCGCTCATCTACTCGCTTCCTCCTCCCCTCCCGCTGATCAGTGCCAAGCCTAGAGAGTGCAGTAGCGTACGGTGTAGTTGCAGGGGGCAGGGACGAGCTGAGAAAATAACACTTTTGAAGCGGAAGTGAGAGCGGGCGAGGTGAGAGGGCAGGAGAGCACAAGAACGAGCATACCAGAGAGCACGTGAGAAGGGTTCGCATGTGCTCTCTGGTATGCTGAGGGTTCGCAGTCTACAGTGTAATACGCCTTTGTGCAACGCGCGATCTCGTCAAGCAGACGGACTCTGTTACAGCAGATTGTGTGATCCTTCTTCTCGTCCCCACGCCAGACGGAAGCGCGACCTCTTGTGACTGGGCGCGCTTCAGGTACCTGGGCGCGGTGCCGGGCGATGAGCGAGTGGCGTCAGCAAGAGACAGCAGCTCGAGTGATTGGAACAGACGGGACAAGCAGAGGAGTGCCCCTCGTCGAAGAAGCTCCCCTCGCTCCTCTCCTCCTGTTCCGTAGCCATGCATTGGAAGGGACCTCTCAAGCTTTCGTCGGGCCTGCGCAGTGTCCATAAGAGCCAGAACGCAGCTGAGCACAGGAGGGTACGCAGGGAGCTGCGGAGCTCGGACATGCAGAAGCAGGGTGCGGACGACGCTGCAAAGTCCTAGGAGAGCAGAGCACTGACAGCCCGAGCACCAAATCTGCAAGTGGCCAGGGAGCCCCCGCGCCATGCCCACGAGCGTTGCTCCACCCCGGAGGGTGTGGGCAGGGGACGCGTTGAGTGCACTCAGGGCAATACCACTCGCTCCTCTCCTCCTCCTCCTCCTCTTCCGTAGCCATGCTGGCTCGAGCCCCTTCGGCCCGCGGGGGCGCGGCCGGCGCGCGGGGTAGGCGGCGAATTGTTCCGGGCGAGCGCCCAGACCCCCGCGGGCCAGCTGTCAAGCAGTGGCGAAGCGTCTTGGCGTGCCTATAACCGATTAAGGACCCCTCCCCCCCCTCTCCGGTGAAAGGATAACGCACCCGGCACCCGGAAGCGTTATCCTGGCACCAGGAGGGGGTACACCAGATCGCACGGGTCCCACGGAGCTTTTCTCAGCTTTTTCTTAGCTTTTCTAAGCTTTTCCTTAGCTTTTCTCAGCTTTTCCTTATTCGCATTCGTATTCTTATTCTCATTACAATTCTAATTGGGATGCCACCCGAGGCGGGGTGCTGGAATTATTTATTTTCCTTCCATTTGCGCGGTGCTAATAATATCGTTCGGCGAAAACCCCCCAAATAATTATTTAATTGCGGCGCGGTGCTAATGATAACGCCGGGGGGTTCCTTAGGCCTACGAAGCAATGTTCCAAGAACCTCCTGTGGTTTCCACGAAATGTTCTTAGAACATTTACGGTTGGGGCTGTGTTGTTTTAACACATCGGGTTAATGCTCTAAGAACATGTTGTTGTTCTTAAAACAATGTTGGGGTTCTAAGAAAGTTTCGTGGTAGGCCTACGGAGTGCCGGGGCGGTCGGTCCCTGCTCAAAGCTGGACGTCGCCGCGCGGGCCGGGCGGCGGAACGCATGTGGCGCGAGGCGTTGTGCTGCCCGTCCACACGCCGCCAGGCAGGTCGAGGGCTGGGTCGATGTGCGGCTTACCAGCTTGAAGCATATATCCTTGCCAACATGCTTAATTCGGGCTTGTCGTTCTACAGGAGGAATGATCAACAATAGTTATAAACAAATCGTTTGGGGACGTTTTTTCCAGCATTTCCCAGCCATCCTGTGGCGCTGGGTCCTCGATTTGAAGAGACGGTCCCCGCGTCCCTCCTCTTTTCCTCTCCTCTTCTCCTCTCCTCCTCTCCTCCCTCCTCTCTCCTATCGTTGCCGATATTTTCCTGGAGGCCTATTCTGATCGGTTTGATGCTGTCGGTTTTCAAGAACTCTGTCGTACTGAAGAGGCTATCGAGTTCGCAGTCAACCGTGCTCACAAGCATGGGTTCCATGCGCACCTCCACCCCTCAGTTAGTACTCAGAAAGGTGGATTGAGTTCAGGAGTGGGCCTTGTCTCGCAGTATGCCAGGTCCTTCTCTGAAGTTGTATTGGATCCGATTGTTGTCATGCCCCCCCCAGAGAGATTTATTCTGAAGCTATGGCATGGGGTCGTGGATCCAGGTATCCCTTGGGCCAATGTCTACTTACACACGGGGGAAGGCGCTGAGGATCGCAATGCCCAGTTGCTGATGCAGGTGGCAGCAGTCATGAAGACCATATCCACCCCCTTTCTTATATCAGGGGACTGGAATATGTCCCCCAAGGACTTGCAGAATACGGACTTCTTAAGTGGGGTGGGGTCATTGTCGCGCCATATCGCCATACCTATGAGTCCGCGGGTGCTCAGTCTTTGATTGACTACTTTGTGGTTCACCCCTTGCTCTCGGCAGCTGTTAAGTGTGAGGTCTGGGAGAACCCCCTGATCCCCAAGCATCAGCCTGTCGCTCTCACCCTTCGTGGAAATCTTCACTCTGATTTGGTGCATGTTTTTCGGCGTCCGCCGCACATCCCTGTTATTCGGCCAGTGGGGTGTTCAAACTGTCCGCCTTCCTGGGATGCCTTTCCTGATCCTGACGCAGTCAACACTGTGGAAGATTTGGAGCGTCTTACCTCTTCTTGGCTGAAGACGTCTGCCCAGGAGTTGCTTGCCCTTTTCCAGTTGCCAGACCCGCAGGATTACACCAAGTGGGGTGAGCCTCCCTCGACTATCCAGATTTCGGTTTCCAGACTGTTTCCTGGAGGTGTGCTTTCGTCATATGAAGGAAGGCTCTGGAGGTATCTAACCGTCTTGGCACTCTTCTATATCTTGCTGACAAGCAGTTGTGGCCCGCTTATCGGAGAGCATGTCAAGCCCTGCGGCGGTATCGTCCTTCGCAGCGTGATGGCGGTCCTCCCCCCGATTGGTCATGGTGGAGGTACTATGCCAACAGGCTTGGTACCCTAGATCTTGGTTCCATAGATTGGCTGCGGGGCGTCTTGGCTGAGTCCGCATCTGCTCTGGAACGTGCAGCATCTGCACAGAGATACCAATCCTGGACATCATGGGCCATCCGATCTGTCCAGGAAGGGGGTTCTGCTGCGCACCGCTTCGTCGAGGGATCTATGGATTGGGCTTCCTTTGACAAGACCACCCCGAACCCAGATGCCCCAGTCGGTACGCCGCAGCATCATCTTAAGGCGCGAGAAGGAGTTTGGCATGCTATCCGGGAGCCCATGCAGGAGCACCCTGATGATCCTTGCCTGGCCCTGGATTTCCCGCCGTTTCCGCCCGACTGCCTTGCATCCTTGCCCCACCCGTCCTTGGACAAGTACAGGCAGATGTGTCGCAGGTACAAAGCTCGAACGTCGGTCGGACTGGACTCTATGCATCCACGTCATCATGCGCTGCTTTCTGACTCATCTCTTCTTGCCTTGTTTGGTATCTGGCGTGCTGTCCTGCGATTGGGTAGATT